GGGAATTATGAACTTATCTAAGGTGAGCTTGGTCAGGGGCAGAGTCAGTACTGCTGGTGCTTACCCACCCTCCAGGTTCTTAAGAACAGGGCATTGAAAGGAAACCTGGGCACATCCTGCTAATTTAGGGTGTTGTCGCTGACTGCACAAGGTCACGATGGAACCCGAGATGGTGAGAAACTGGTCATTAATTCAGCAGATAAGAGAGCAATTGTTTGGTGTGAACCAGCAGTCAGGTCAAAGGAGGAAGGTTGTTGTGGTACCTCCTGTAACTGGTGTTATGTCAGAGAAGGAATTCAGAGCCGGCTATTTACCGAAACTCGTCGATAAACATTTTATTATGAAAGGCCCATGTTACTTCCTGCTGGGTGGTCCCGAAGGGACTGCAGTGTCTCTGTTCCACAGCTGCCGAGACAGATATATCTATCTCAGGATAACTGTCTGAACCCTGACATCCGTCTTACGGCCAGAGCAGAAGAATTTGTTGCAATTCCTGCTTTTTTGGTATCTAGGAAGAGATAGTAACACGAGTGAGATCTCTTTGTGTTTCCCAGGAAGGAACGAAAGGGTGATTTTCACAAGAACTAACACTTCTGAGCCTTTGAACATGGGCTTTTCAGTTGAGGTATTTATTACGGCTGCTGAGCCGTGGCCAGAGGCAGCGCTGAACCGGGTGCACAGGATAGACCTCCCCATCCAGCCCCCCAACATGACCCCTTGCACTAACTGCTCCGCAGCGCGCTCTGCCTATCTTCCTCCATCCAGTCCATGGGGCTGAGAAGTTGGTGACCCATGGCAGTGCTGCTGGGGGATCCCATGAGTACTGAGAGAGGAACCAGCGCAGAGGGCTGGATCCTGTGCCCGATGTCTTTGTGCACCTTCACCACTGATGCATGCCGGATCTAAACGGAGAACTGCTGGGTTAGGCATCTACACCGACCGAGCTGGAGGTGCAGGATCGCCTCCATCAGAGGTCACAGACAAACACCGCGGAGCCACCGAGCCCTCCACACGTGGTCAGTTATTAACTGAGCTCCGTTGGCAGTGAGATGCCAGCAACCATGGAAATGGAGCAGGGGATTACAGCGATCTGATAAACCCACCGGTCCCTGCCCAAAGATGCAGCTACGACAGAGCCTTTCCTTCCCCAGCCCCAGCTATGACAGTGTCGTGCATAAAGAGGAGATGAAAGTCTTGGAGCCATCAGACGCTTTTCTGGTTGGGGCAGAAAGGAAGAATATGATGGAGTCACAACTGGAAGTTAATCCTGTTAATTCTTGTTATGACTCAAGAAGCTCAATTTCCAGACCACTGCTTTTTCCCCCAAGATTTTTTACACAATCGATTTTATTCACTAGGTAGGTAAGTTCTCTACTGCTGTTCCACACCAGACAACTTCAGGTGCTCTGTGAATTACAATGAGGAAAACATGCAGCAGAAGACACCTTTACCAGAGTTATTTTCTGCTTTGGTTAAGTGCCCGGCTGCTGTCACCCAGCTATCACTGCTCTGACTTATTCTGAGCCTCGGCTCAGAGCTGCTCCGTAAATTCAGTATTACAGCTGGCACGAATGCCGGGGACTTCCAGATGGCTCCAGACCATTAGAGGTTGACCTGCTCTTGGCTGGGCACCGCAACTCTGCTATCAGGTATGTAAATCCAAGCTGTGTTTTGTGGAGCAGCCGAAGATCTGGCCCAGGATTTTGAAATATGCTGTTTCTTTGTTGTTCCCCCACAAAGCGACAAACCAGATTATCTGGTCGTTTTGCAGTAATAACCCTAGGCCCTTGATGTTAGAGGGAGGAGTACCAGGAGGAATGCAGCAAGGTGAGTATGACGTAAAATCACTGCGGGTTGTGTTTTCAGATGCTGTGCCCTCAACAGTGCCAAGAGCAAAGGGTTTTGCTTTGACCGCTTATCACCCAATTAAGCAGGACTTTGCTTCTGCCTTTTCCTCCACCTCATGTCCCATCCCAAGCTATAGGCAGACTTTGACTTTCATATTTCAGGAGCAGGCGCCAAAGAGGAGAGGGCTCTGTCCCTACAGAGCTCCCCGTTCCTGGTGTTTCTTGAAGTTGGAGGTGGTCAAGGGACATTCATGACTCTGCCCATGTCTCAAGGCTTCTGCTCGGCTGGTCACGCTCAAGAGGTGGTTGTGATGCCGCCCTTCCTCTCTGAACCACTCTACCCACTCTAGTATCAGGTCCACCCACTATACCAACATGCATCCTCGAAGATGTCGTTGAGTCAGTTCCTGTTCCTATGGCACAGCTCTATTCTCAGAAGGGTGAGCTGTTTTTTTCCTGCGACTGGAAAATACACTTCTTTATTTTCCATTCTTTTTTCTTTTTTTTTCTTTCCATTGACATGGATGTCTGGACTCCACAAAGGGCAAAATCAAGGTGGGACAGCCCTTCTTCCTGGGTTGTTTCCAACCCCAGTGGGATTAAAGTGTTGGCTGTTTCACAAAGAGGCCCATTCATGAGATTATTTTGTCTCCCAGGGTGACCTTTCAGGCCTAAAGGCCTCCAAGTCATTGACAATGCAACCAAAATTGGCCTTTCTCAGAAGTCTCTAATTTTTCTCAGTCACTTCAAACTCCTCCTGTGATGGAGGTCTGAGGACCCCAAGTCCCCTTCTGTCCCTCTCCTCTGGTACACTGCGATGGAGCAGTTCCTTCCCATTAAGCTGGACAGGAGAGGAACAGCACCAGAAGGGCTCAAGGAGAGTCTCCAAGGAGGACGGCTGGGCAACCATTTTTGACCAAAACCTACATTTTTAGAGTGATGAATATATCTGATAAATTCTTGTCAATACCTCAAAATGGATTTGATCTGTGACTTTTCAGAAAATATGCTGAAAAAAGTTCAAACGTTCATCTCAACAGTTTCATACTGAAGTGGTTTGGATTTGCCACTTAAAACAGTGGCTTTTCCTCTCTCTTCACTTCTCTTCAAAAGTGTTCTTCTTCACCTTGAATGCTGGGAAAACTCTGGAAATATTAGAGGTTTTTTTGCCTTGATTAAGCTGAAATTTCCCATTTAAATCTCCTCCTCCCTAAACTATTTCTTTCCAGTTCGCTTGTACACGGGAGAGCTGCAGGTGGGGTAAAATGAGGACTGAACTTCAATGAGATATCTCCCCCTCTTGCACCTCGCTCAGCAAAGTGAGGAAGGGTTCCCTGACATGTTCTCCCAGTGTCCTCATACTGCGATCAAAACTTCCTGTAAGAATCAAGCACCATGGAGAGAGAGTGAAAGAGGAAAAATGGACCCAGGCAAGGCATCTTGTGAAGAATCCAGCTTTTTAAACCACTTTAAACTTGTGGCACACTAAAATGTATCCTTATTTGCAGCACAGGGCAGCAGCATCCCTGGTATATTTAAGCCAAGGCTGTTTTCCCACAGCAAAAGGCTTTGGGATGCTTCAGCACCTCTCCAGATTAATGCTTCTTACCACACTCCCTCAGATTTCAGTGTTTATGGGGTTTTTTACTGAGTTAAGGAAAGGGGTGACATTCAGCCCTGGTGTTTATGAGCTCATTAGCACTCCTCAGCAAGGGAACTGGCACCAGGGGGTTGATGTTGAGAGTTATCTTCTTTTTCCCTCCTCTTCCCCACCCTGGAAAGTGATGCAATTCGATTCCCTTGTAAGATCCTTCGTGCATGGCTAGGAACCCTGACATGCTGAAATCCATAACACTTCGACCCGCAAGGTTTGTTCCAGGTGATAGCACAGTTCTGTGTGACATATGACTGTTTATTGAAAATATTTTATTGCTTTCTAAAAATCAGTTTTATTAAACCCCAAAGAGATACAGTAAGTAGACCAGCAAAATTATTTAACAAACTCAATTATCTGGCATTTTCTTTCTCTGCAGGAAGAGAGCCAGTTCTGTAAGAACAAGCTGAGAAGACCTGGTTTTGCTGTAGTTCATAGAGGTTGAGCTCCTCTGACTGCACAGCATTTATGCTTAAGTTCCAGCAGAACTTCAGGTGAAATCAATGAATCAGTTCATTGGTTTCAGCTGGAGTTTGATCAGCACCTTGCACCTGAGTCAGGTAAGAATAAGATCAACAGTTTTCAGAGGCTAAACAAAGCCACTAACTGCACAGCCACACAGTCTTTGCCAAGGAAAACTCCTCGTGTTGGTTTGAAACTTCTTTTCACCTCCTCCGGGTCAGCAGCTACCACTCTGCGCTAAACCTGCACTCTGGAGGAAATGTACCATGAGATGTGTACCGTTACGCTATAAGGCAAGAGACCAGCTTTTAGCATCCTCAAATGCAGTGCAGATGATTCTCCTGAAATTCATACTCTGCATAAGATAACATGGGAAGGGACGATCTTCCATAATGCTCCAGCACTTCTAAGGAGATATTATTGGAGTCATCAAAATGGTAATTCCACCCTCACACTGACCGTGAAATACAGAAAATGGCATTTCAGATAATGGCACTTCTTTTTAGTGTTGGGTTCTGTGACCTCCATTTTGAGAAGACATATCAGAAGATAGCCCCAGCTCCCAAGGCCATGCTTTGCCTCACCTATTTCAGAAAGTCCACTGTATTCACCAGCACAGTACCTGAATACATCTTCCCTTCTCCCTCTCCCACTTGAAGTTTCATGCAGTGTTTTTCCCCCAACATGTAATTATGAAACACTTCACGTTACTCTGTGTCCCAAACTGAAGGTATTAACTCCCAGTGAAAGGAAAAAAGCTGTTACTCTAGGGCCAGTCTGTCACCGATACAACACTTTCTTTGGTTATGTCTGATCTTCAGTGAAAGCCGGCAGCCTCCATAAGTAAAAATGTTACCTCTGAGTGACTGTGGTTTGTAAGTCAGCTCTGCATGGGGGTATTTTAGCAGTATCCATAGAAAGATGAATAAGTCACCCCTGCAGCTGGGAAACCTCTCCCATTCCCCAATTTGACTGATATGTCATTTTCCAGCAGACACCTTCCTAGTGAGCACATAACTGCTTGACCTGCACGGGAGTCAGAGGCGAGTGCGATTCTCGCAGCCGTCATCGGTGGACTGCACCGGCACTGTTTCTTGTGAGGCAGCTATGCCCACCCCGTTGTGCACAGCATGGCTATGATTCAGACGTTCTTCCTGGCCTTTTGTGGTGCCACTGTTAGGAACCAATGTCTGTTTCTTCTGCACCTGCTCCAATATCTGCAGCACCTGGAATTAGTAAACACAGCTGTGAGCGGGTTTGTAATTAGAGGAAAGCACTAATTTCTTCTCCAGCTATTGAAATAATGCCCTATTCTCTTTCTGAGGGAAGACCTTATCACACTCTACAACTACCTGAAAGGGGTTGTAGCGAGGTGGGGGTTGGTCTCTTCTCCCAAGTAACAAGCGATAGGATGAGAGGAAATGGCCTCAGGTTGTGCCAGGGGAGGTTTAGACTGGACATTAGGAAAAATTTCTTTTCTGAAAGAGTGGCCAAGCCTTGGAACAGGCTGCCCAGGGAAGTGGTGGAGTCACCATCCCTGGAAGTATTTAAAAGACGTGTAGATGAGGTGCTTAGGGACATGGTTTAGTGGGCATGGGGGTGTTGGGTTGACGGTTGGACTTGATGATCTTAGAGGTCTTTTCCAACCTTAATGATTCTATGATTTAAGCTACGTGTCTGGGCTCAGCCTTGGGATTACGCTAAACGCTTCTGGCTGCTCAGAGGTCTCTGGGACAGGTGTAAATGGAGAGCCTGCCCCATGGAGGTCCATGACTTTGGATCTCAGAGCTCTTTCCATGAACGAATCAGTCTCACCTAGCACATCCCCCAGCAACGTGCTTAGCACAGAGAAGTGCAATGATGGTCTGGAGGCAGGATCAGGATGCGGGCAACATGGAACTTTGTTTTTCTGCCCTTTCACACCACCCTATGATAACTCCCCATGCCATCACAGATTTCTTCACCTCCTTATGGGACTAGGAAACCCCCAGTCTGAAACCCACTTAATGGAGATGGAGAAAGGGAGCAGAAATAAAACAAAGATTAATTTTACCTGAGACTTGGGGATGATACCGACTCTGAAGAATCCTATGTTTCCACTGTCGATTTTGGTGCAGTCCACAACGGTGGAGGCAATGTTCTCTGGAGAAGGCCCATCACAAAGAACTGCATCCACCTGAAGAGCCACAGATGTTCACACCAAGTTCCCCTCAAGCACTTGGGAAAAGAGAGGGTGGTTTCCCCCTCTCAACAGCAGGTAATTATTATCAAAGGCAACTGCTCCTTCCTACCCCACTGTATTGACACTTAACTAAGGGCTGAATTTGGAAGGAATGAACTTAATAAAAGCAAAGAGAGAGAGAGCTCTATGGGATGTAAGTCAGCAGTACAGCAAAGGCAGGCTTACATCAGCTGAGGAGCTTTAAAGAACTCCCATCCACAAAGCAAATGTGTAGAAAATGAGATTTTTGAGGAGTTATAGGCGGAAGATTTGTACCACCTTTTGTTTAAAACTACCCTCACACAAGCTGCCACGAATATACAAAATACAGTACACTCAGGATTTAGCAGTGAAATGAAAGACAGCCATTTGAATGGCCATGACCATTGTATTTCCAGAACTTATGAAAGTTCTAAAAGCCAGGAATTTTTTAGAGCTTTGGCACCAGTTTTAGACCAGCTTCAGCTTTAGATGGGAATCCCCTGTGTTCCAACAGCTCAATGCCAGCTGGAGCCCTGGCGCATTCAGCCATCAGTGGTTTTATTGCTTGTAGGCAAAGAAGCATTTTTTTGTTGCTCATATCATTCTTTGTTGGAAGATGAACTAACTCACATTGCCAAGGCATAACTATACTGTATAAATTAGAAGAATTTTGGTTTCCCATCAGGTTCTGTACTTTACACTGTTCTTTCACTACGACACCAACATGAGGAGTGTCCATGAGATGTTTTTAATGAGATGCTTTCCCAGATTCTTGATATCATCTATTGATTTGCCTACTGGAAACAAAGTGGTTGTGTTCTTCCATCCCCACATCTTTTGGGACCAGCCGGAATGAAAAGACATGGAGCCCCAATTACCTTATCTCCCAGCTTGGCATACACCTGGTTGTGGTGTGTTGTGTCTGCCTCTCCCGTTGGGTTAGCTGATGTGACCACAATGGGGCCAACCTGGTGACAGAAAAATGGGAATAAAAGCTCTGTTTGCTGTGTAAAACAGATGACTTGAATTCTGAAGTTCACTCGTGAGTCTCTGTGACTCTAAAAAGAACTGTGTGACTCATCCAGGTAGAGACATCTACTTCGTAGGCAACTACAGTCCCACCAAACTCTCCCGTTGGGTTAGCTGATGTGACCACAATGGGGCCAACCTGGTGACAGAAAAATGGGAATAAAAGCTCTGTTTGCTGTGTAAAACAGATGACTTGAATTCTGAAGTTCACTCGTGAGTCTCTGTGACTCTAAAAAGAACTGTGTGACTCATCCAGGTAGAGACATCTACTTCGTAGGCAACTACAGTCCCACCAAATCTATGCACGAGTCACTAACACCCTTGCTGAACTGGGGTTTACGGATGTCGATCAGGAAAGAGCATTTTGTTTTCCAGCAATAGCAATTGCCAAAGACCTACAATGTCTGTCCTAGAAATGAGCAGAACATGCAGGGTATCACAGTTCCTCTCACCACATTCCGGACCTTCTGAAGTTATTCTGGCTTTAGATAAGCCCGAGCTTGCAACAGAAGTGTTCTATGTAGGAAATCAGACAAAGTGTCTGTTAATTACATCTTTTCTGGCTTTCTGACCTGGTGGTTTTTCCTTTTACCCTTTCTTCTGCAATAAAATCAGGTACCAGCTGCCTGCATACCCCACCCCTTCTTAATGATATTTTTCTTGCGGGAGTTACTCATTTTAGCACTTTTCACTCCCCAAACCTGTCTGAACATGCTAGGATCCTCACTTAATTGAGAAAAGAAACAAGAGAGGAGAAGTGACATGCCAAGAGGGCTGGCAGAGTGCTCCAGCCTCTCACTATCCTCCTCTCCTGCAGCAGGCCAGAGGACCTGGGTGCTAGTGACTGACACCAAGCCAGCTCCCCAGACAGTGGAATGGCAAGGTCTGGTCACCTGTGCTGCTGGGATGAGTGTGCTCTGGCCACTCACCAAGTCGATGAGGTGTGTGGTGACAGAGCAGTCGGGGATGCGGATGGCGATGCTCTGAGGGGTACCGACGTATTTAGCGGAGTCCTTCATTCCCAGGAAGTCCACCCATTCACCTGCACAAGGAGGAGTCACACAGCACTTACGGAATGGCAAGGTCTGGTCACCTGTGCTGCTGGGATGAGTGTGCTCTGGCCACTCACCAAGTCGATGAGGTGTGTGGTGACAGAGCAGTCGGGGATGCGGATGGCGATGCTCTGAGGGGTACCGACGTATTTAGCGGAGTCCTTCATTCCCAGGAAGTCCACCCATTCACCTGCACAAGGAGGAGTCACAAAGCACTTATGGATGTACATTAGTCCAAACACAATGATCTTACCAGAAATATCGCCATGGACCATGTGGCGTTGCAGGGATGCATGACTTAAAGTTGGAGTTTCAAAGCCAAAGCTGCCCAGAGAGCTTGGAAGCAACGGCATTTCCTCACCTCTGGGAACCACCAAGCTAATAGGAGATGGCCAGGCAGCCTCCATGAAGTCCCAGAGGAGGGGAGAGAACAAATGCTTTGCAGGTTCCAGTTGCTTTAGGCTAGAAATCCAGAGTGACATGGGGCGATCCTGAGCCTGGTGCTTGGACCTGGGAAGGAGGCAAGAAAAGTGAGCCTGGATGTAAGATGGGGATTTAATTTCAAGCTGAAAAGGAAATTGTGATGGTGAGGCCTAGAGTTAAGACAAGGTGTGTAGGCTCTGTGCCAGGTCACCAGTCTGTAGTACTGTCATCATTCAACAGATGACCTGACAGGAAGGGACATTAATGACTTTGCCTACTCCAAATCAAGGTTTTAGCTTCTAGCGTAGTGATGGGCAGAAGTCGCAATTGCCCAAGCTCTGAGGAAACCCCACCAATATGAGGGGTCCCAGCTGCCTACGAAAGTAGAGCTAGAGATTTGTTAAACACGAGAGGGATTTTGGTTGTGATGATATGTACCTACAAATATGTACAATAATCCCCTGGCCCATTTGCCACTTCTTTGTGTTTCCTTGTGATATCCAAGCTATCTGGCTCCATCACCTGCCAGGAGCCTTCAATATCCTAGAAGACAATTCCAGCTCAACTGCCTCCTTTCCTCATTCGGATCTTATCCGCCAGGCTCATCACCTTATTGCTCCCATGAAGGCTAAGCTATGTGTCTCATTGCTGCTAATGGTTGCTGTAGCCAGTACTCAGTAGCAGCTATAAGTCCTAGAGGCTTCTTTAGACTAGCCAAGGAAGCCCTCACTGGGACAGCAAGACAAATACTTACTGGTGAGCTTTCTCCACAGCATCAGGCCGATTACAGGCTGCCACAAGCACATACACAGTATCCGTGGGGATGCCGCAAGTCCCTCCATTCTTCAGGATATCTGTTGGCAGGTGAACAGGGCAGAATCCCTTCAGTGACTAGAAGTGAGGGGCTGTAATTCACGGAAGAGCTGTCACAGACAAAACAGCCAATTCGGTGCTCTCATCTCCTTTTCCCAACTAACAAACCATTTCCTCTGACAGTGCATTTTCTAGCATTCATCGAAGAGGAGATCTGGCATTTAGGGGAGTTTTGGGCCACGTTCATCAGGGCCAGAAGTCATTCAGCCCTGTGCAGAGAGCAAGCACCACGCATTTGCCTTGCTTTCTCTGTACAAAGCTTTCAGTGGTAGCCCCACCCTGGAGGATTCATGTATCTCAGATTGGAGGAGCAGACAGGGGTATGATACAGGAGAGATGGCAGCAAATTCATTTTTTTTAGCTCCTATCAAGGAATTGGTCCTATTTCCCCCATAGTGTAATTAGCTTCTAGTGACTCTTGTAACTTGGCCCACTTTGTCAAAATGTCATCAGATCATCATGGTTTCCACATCTGGATTGGAAAATTGTTCTTTTAATAATGTGCTGCTACAAAACCTCCCAGAATTTACCCTCCACCCCCACATTATGCCCTATGTATTTCCCTTACCTGCAATTCTCTTGACTGAGGAAGCTTTCCTGGCAGGCAGGTGAAGGCACTTGGTCATTCCTCCCCCCACACCACTAAGGTGCACAATGGGCCTACCCATTGGTAAGCAGGAACCCTCAAAGGTGCTGTTGAAAAGGGCAGACAGGAAGCAGTAAAAGCTGACCAGACCAAAGATGAGAGTGGCAGCAATGTCATAACCAGCTGGAAGAGCATGGATGGCATCCAGCAAGAAGCTGACAGCGATGAGCAAGAAAGTGAGGGAGTAAAAGAACCAGGCAATGTTTAAGAAGAGTGTGCAGAAGACAATGAAGCCATTGAAGAGCATGAACGCAATGATGCCTACCGCTGCATGGAAGCTTCTGGTAGTGCCATAGAGGCCACCATATCTTGTCAAGCCCCAGATGATCCACATGACAGCATAGAGAATGAAGGCACTGCTCTCCAAGGTTTTACCCCGGGCAAAGGCCACTGAGCCGCCTAGAAGCTTGAGGATCCCACCGGCTACCACTACCCATGGAATTACAACAGTAGCAAGTGGAGCCTGGGGGTCCCCTGTCATTGTTATAGCAAAAGAAGCAAGGACACTGCATGCATAGCCAAGTACTTCTGCATCTGCATACTTGGAATACCCTAGGTAGGGAGCGTGAAGGTCTGCCCCTTCACGAAGCTTCAGAAAACTGCTGCGAGCAAGTAGTGCCTTCACTGCACCCTTCCCTGTTGGGATCTTGGCACTTGCTTTCACATTGTACAGGTGAATTAGAGTCATCAAGGCTGAGGACACAAAGATGGCCACATCCACGCCTTGGGGTCCACCTTCAAAAAATCCCTTGGGACGGCAAGCTAATGCAATGCAGTAGGCCACATAAAACAGCAAATACAGGCCATCCACTGGGCTCTTAAGAGTGAGAAAAAGAGCCAAGACCGCAAAAAGAATTGAGAAAACCACCAGGAATGGAGTGGAAAGATGGCTCCTCTGGTTGCCAGACTGGGTACAGAAGGCAATAGCCTCCAGCAAATTTCAGGATGGAAGTGAAACCAAAGAATGTAGCCATTAGCACATCCATTGCACGGTATGATAAAATGCAGATGCCAATCTGGTAGATCCCAGCTGCCCACAGCCAGGGCACCTGGCCGATAAATAGTTTGCCAGTGACACCCAGGAGCCTACAGCCAAAGACACTGGCAGACAGCATGTTCAGGATCAGACCTGTGACTGCAAAATGATTCATGCCACCACTGGTGGATTGGATCTGGTCACGGGTCTTTTTCTTGGCCAGATCTGTGCCAGGGAGGGCAATTTTCTCTTTGGTTAGGAAATAGAGGATCCTTCCCAGAGCAAAATAACCACCAACCAAGCAGACAATCATATAATTGCAAGCCACAGCAGAGGAACCAAAAGTTGTGCTATAACACATGGCAACTTCATGAGCACTGGCAAGTGAGACAGCAGAAGCAATCATAGCTAGGATGACCTCTCTGCAAAGGAAGCCCACCACTGCAATAATAAGTAGTGCCAAAGTAAATGTGACCAGGCCAGGCACCAGGGCATTGCGGAAATCACCAGTGTCATTCAAAACTCCTTGCCCTCCCAGGATGAAGACCACTCCATAGCCACACCAGAACACTGAGATGGTCAGGCAGAGAGACAAGAACAGGGAGGCATCTCTTAGGCTTCTCCGAATTCCTGTGAAACAAATGACAATGGGGACAGAACTGTGATTTCGAGACAATAGGTTACAGAAAGCAGTAGTTAGGACAGGTAGCTGTGCTATAGGCACATGGTGTGTTGGAAGTGTGACCACTATGCTAGAATGGAGCTGCACAGGTCCTGCATGATGCTAGACAGAGCTATCATGAGTGTGGGTAGGTCTGCACCATGCCCCATTACACTGTGTAGACATGACCGTAAAGACTCCATCAGCACAACACTTTGTGCTCATCAGAATGCCTGAGGTGAGCTGAGAGTACGTGGGTTCCTTCAACTAAGCACTGTACCGGGCCTGGCATGCAGTTTGCCCTAATGAGGTCGAGGTTCAACAAGCCATTGTCTTATCTTCCTCATGATGCCTACAAGACTCAATATATTAATGCAAATCAAGTCCTGACACCTCTTTCTTTTGAGGTCGTTTAGTGGTTTGTTTTGTTCCTGCTGTAAGCTGTCAGGTCCAATGTTTGAACCACAAGTGTCATACAACCTGCTGGATCCCCCAAAATAATTGGGCCTTCTCAGAAGACAGAAGCACAGCAATTGCAAAACTCATTCCTTCTCAAGAACTATCCTGTTTGGCATCCTGATCCCCAAAATGACAAGGAACTTGATTTAAAATGTTTCAAGTTGAATGGAACCCACGTACTACCCCCAAACAATACCACAAAATACCTTATTTTTACTGCTATGCTGTGAGGATACTGATCAGCACGGACAGACCTGAAAGCTTCCTTCCAAGCTGGAGCTTTGTAATGGACCTACGCTTCATTTCTTCCTCAAACTGATACAGCTTTGTGAGCCAGACTCAAGTTGGGAAGGGAAGCAAGAGCTCTGCTGAATGAGTCCCCAAGCTACAGAGGACTGTATTCACACAAGTATGCGTCTCTTGGAACAAGGGAGCACAGAAATTCCTGCCATTGGTTGGAGGCTGTTGATTGCCACCAACTGTGAAACATCACCTGCCCAGTGGTCCATTCCATATAGTCCCACCAAGACAGATGCTTCTAAGTGCTTTCTCCTAATGCTTTGTGCCACCACTGACTGAGAGAAGAGGTGGACATCTGTTTTATGGGTTAAAATATGTAGTATCTCTCCCAAGCTGTCTGCTTTGTAGAGGAAAAAATACCAGCATCTAATCTTAGGTTTTCATGTCCTCATTGCTCTGAGTTAAAAAGGAGAAATAACTCAGCATTCATTCTAAAAAGTGTGGACTTTGTTATAGCCAGTGATTTTTTCTCTCAGGTAAGTAATCTCTTGGCATTTACACATTGACATGCCATTTCAATCCATGGATGCCTACAGTACTCTGAGAAAGTCTGGGAACCTTTTTTAGAGAAATCATGTATTCAGTCTGTTAAAACTGTCAAAGATCCTGGTAAAGCATTTGTTCAAAACTAACCTTGATTTCTTTGGTTGCCTATATAGGAAAAATTTGCTGTGCTGACATACTCCTCTAGAATAAATCAGTGGTTTGGCAAGGCTGCCAAAGGTTTGTATAAATCTGTTGGCAAACAGAACAAATACATGCAAAGCTGTAGAAGAGGGAGGCCCTGAAGCTGGCCATCCTCCGAGTCTTACCTGCATACGCCAAAAGAGACGATAAAATCAACAGAAGGACTCCTAGAGCTGTGCTGGGGATCAGAGGGGCTGCTCTGGGTAAACTGTAGAAATGCACTGCCAGTAAGAGTGATCCTGTGTGTGAGAAGGGAGGTGGAAAAAAAGAAAGAGCTTGTAAACTTTGCCCAAAAACCCAGGAGAGAACCAGAGTGGCAAGAGCAGGGAATAGAGAAAAAATAACAGTACAAAATCTGCAAAAAATGAAATCTAAGAAGCTGGGGGGGGTCTTGTAACTTGGTTTGTGTCCAAGGTCTCACCTCTTTCTGGGTTCCTAGTTTTAAGAAACTTGAACTTAATCATGTTTGAAAGTGCTCCCCCGTTGTCAGATAAAGGTAAAAATCAGCTCTCCAATTCCAATTACAAAAAAGGCAGACAGACGCACGCACACTCTACGGATGATCACATAAGCCTTGTGCCTACAGAAAACTAGCCTAAAAATGAAAAGGGGCAGCACTCAGAAAGATGAAATGCAAAGAAGGAGCAAATGAAAGGGAGTGAACACAGAAAACAGCTGCAGGGAAAGCAGCTACAAAAGGAAAAGAGAGAAGGTGCATCCAAATAAAGATCGTTTATGGAAATGACTACCAAAAAGTTTTGATTTGCTTCCCACCCAGGAAAGTTCAGGCCAGCACTTTAAAGCCAAGACAAATATTTTGTTGGCTGCTGAAATAGGCACAGGGATCTCTGGATCTAAAAGCTTTACCCAGGCAAGAGAAGATTCAGAAAAAACAAACTCTTTAGCCCCCTTTGAAAAGGGGATTGTCCGTGAAAGCTAGTCCCAACCCCATCTTCCCATGCCAAGAAGACTCGATCCCTACCTGCGGAAATGCCCAAGAGCCCTATGGAGGAATGCAGTGACTCAGCTTTTCTGTCTGCCATCGCAGAGTCCGCTGAAGACCCAGATGAGGGCTGAAATGCTGCCTCTCTTTCCTCCCTAGCTCTTTATAACCAAAGCAACTCCGCTGGCCTGCGTTCCTCCCTGCTCTCCACCCCTACATCTTCTGTTAGTGTTCCCTTCTGCATGCGGGAGGAAATGCAAACTTGCTGCAATAAATTTCAGTCTGTGAGTCAGCATGGACTGCTGGTAGCTCCCTCCAGGGGCCTGTTAATTTTACTGTTGATTAACCCTTGTTAAAAAAGGCACCTGAAAAATAACGCTGAGGGTTTATTACTATTACTGCCTTTTTGCTACTGCCAGTGAGGAAATTACACTGGTTAAAATTAAGGTTTTTTAAAGAATCCATCTTGCTGGAGCAAACAAGTACTTTGCAAGCCCAGGAGCTCCTTGGGGACCAGTAATTTCTCCTAACATTGGCCATGGTCCTGCTGTTTGTCCCTGTCACAGCTATGAATGCCTGGCACTGCTGTCCTGTGCTGGGCAAACCGAGGGCAGATTCACTGCCATTCCCTTAAAGGTGATTTTCTGTTCCTGTGTCATTCCACATCTATCTAATCCAGCCTCTCTGCGCACACTCACAGGGAACTCCTCCGAAGTGGTTTTCATGAGGGAGGTGTCAATGCAAACATGCAGTCTGGAGACCATCAGTGAGCATAAATCTAGAGGAGCCGTGCTGGCTTCCCAGGAGAACTGTGCAGGCAGTGAGTGAGTATCAGTCATTGCCACGATCGCTGCTGTATCCCGAAGGCGACATGAAGGACCTATTCACAGCTTCCTACTGCTTCCCATGGAGAATACAAGATCAGGGCATAAAGGTCTTCACCAGTGGAGGAGAGAGGCTGCAGAAAGCAGTGGACACTGGCCTCGGGATCATGTTGGGTCACACGTCAAGTGGGAATTAGGCAGAGAACTATTCTGTGAGAGCTAACAGAGCTTTGATGGAAAACAGGGGCAACATTGCCTGCACGTATGTACATTCCTCCATTGTTTTGTTTGTGTGCAATGGAGCAGTGTTCCAGGGCCTATTCCCATGAAGGACTCAGCTCCTGTTCCCATCAGGCCCCGTTAAAGCAAATTCCACTCTCAGCCTCTTGACGAAATAAAAGATGCGGAACAGTGTAAAGAGCTTCACACTAATATTACTGGGCTGGTCAAGGATGACTCTGCAGAGGCCCTACAGCAGCAAGCTGTGATGTTCCTCTTGGCAGATCCTGCTCTATGTTCCCCTATAAGTCATGCTCCACAGCCAGGGCTGGAGGACAGAAAGCTGTTGGAAATGGGACTTAGAGCTGCACAGACTCAAAGACAGGTCTCCAGGATCATCCAAGAGGCACTGGATCTGTAGCAGCATCCAGAACAACCCCAGACTGTCGGGGTCCACACATAATGTCAAAGGCTCTCTGAGCCACGTGGAGCACGATGGCATGCTTCCATTGCGCAGCTGGATCCCTATAATGGCTCCCAAACTTTCCTGGTTTCTTCAGTGCTTTGGAGGACAGTAATCTTTAACTGTGTTCACCCTTCAAGAAGAGCTTTGAGGCAACAGGGTTCCTTCACACTCATCTTCCCTAGAATATTAATCCAGATTAAAGCAAGGTATTAACATTAAAGCCCAATGCCTCTACCATAATAAATGTGTGCAGACATTCCCACACAGAATGGAATAACTCAGCTGAAAAGTACTATATATCAAGAAAATGTTCATTGCAGATAGATCTTTAGGTTCAATATGTCTATTGAGATAGATCTTATTACATGAGGAAGCAAGCACTGGAACAAGCCTGGTTTGTCCAGTTACACCTAACCAATTATATCAGTAAGGGGAACCAGCCCAGTCAGTTTGAAGCAGGCAGAGCTAAAGGATGTGGTTTGCAGCAAGCAGTAAGTTTGTTTAAATCATCAGCCTCTGGCTATCTTTGTTCCATCATTAACAGGACTGCTCTCTAACCAGATGAAGGGGGGAGAAACTATCTGTTCAAGTTGCAGCATGATTCAGCTGTTTTTTCATGCAAGAGGAAATAATACATTTCTAAACCACAGTTAGAATACCTTAGCTACCAAAACAAACAACAGTGACAAGGCTTTGAGTTTTCCACACATATCTCACAGTTTAATTCCTGTTCTGGGTAGTAAAAGTAACTGAAAGGAAAAGCCTGTGTTAGATTAGCTGGACTGCAAGTCCTTTCTCATGTGCCTTTTGTTCCTGCTTGTACAGGTAGCAGCTAGGAGTTTGTGATGCCCGATTTCACTAGTTTTAAGAGATGCGTACCATAAATGAAATCATGTGCATTAGCAATGAGTATCTTCCTCATGCCTGCTACGATTAACGAACTTGCCAAAACACTATTTCATTATCACAGGATGTATTTCATGTTTCTTCCAAATATGATAGAGACCCAAGGAAAATTTGTCATAAATAACACCTGAAAAGCATTCTTCAGCCATGTCGCATGAAGTTTTTTGTTCTCTGAAGAATGGCAAGACAGCTTCAACAGGCTACAGTTATTTCAGCAGTGCAAAGTTGAAATAGAGAGGTACATAATCATCTCAGGTGTGAGCATATCAAGGACAATGAAGAACAAGTCTCTGCATGAGCAAGGGCGTTTCCCCATCACATGCTGTGAATCTTGCTGCCAGGTGTCCCTGCAGAGGTCAGGGCGCTGCCAATTCCTGGTACCACTTTCCTGGCAAATGGAGAGATGGTACTGTTGATCATGAGTCAAGTTATTAATTTCTAACTTCAGGATCCAAAGGCCAGGAAACAACCACAATTGAGTGCAGAACGTCTGCTCTTGAGAGATGGAATATGAGGATAAGGACATTTAAGGTCAGAAAAGGAAATCTTGGTGTTAAAAGACTGAGGCTGCCTATGCAGTGTAGGGTTTAAAAAAATGGGGCACAGAGAGGAATGCACTGGCTTGAATACTTGCTCTGGGTGGGCTCCCTTTGATACCACCTTATGTGCAACGACTTCGGTACTTTAGTCTGAAATAGAATGGAAATTGACAGCTGAGAAGGAAAAACACAGCTTCTCTGTTGAACAGGTCACGTCAGCTGGGGATGCTTTGGAGACAACGTGCTGGGAGGAAGATCTGCAAGGGAGCAGTCAATTGAGGAAACAAATAATATTTACATGCCCCGCCTGTGGCACTGAAATAAAACCTTCTTGCCAGTAAGAAATTCAGCCCAACCCTCCTGGCCCCACCTGCTCCTGGGGGAGGGATCGCGCTATAAAAGACTCCAGGCAGTGAACAGAGATGCACAGCAATTTGGGGCTCTCCAGGGAATCCTCCTGCTCTAGTTGTGACCATGGGAAAGAGAGTAGCTGTCGTGCTGGCTGGCTGCGGGGTGTACGATGGGAGTGAGATCCATGAGTCTTCTGCTGTGCTGGTGCATCTCAGCAGGGAGGGGGCACAGGTAAGAGGCACCCTGGCAGGCTCCTGCCCCATCTCCGGCTCCTTTTGCCCTGCTCTGCTTTTCAATCTCTCTCTCTGGCAGAAGGTACTTGTCCCTAAGGAGCTCTGCAGCTTGCCGGACAAATCACAAGCTCCCTATTGCTCCTAGGATAATTGCAAAGCATAAGTGACTGGAGTCAAAGCAAACGGCACAGAGTAGGAGCGGCTACAGCGAGCTTGGAGAACTCCCCAGTCTCTGCTTTGCTTTCACAGCTTTTCTGTATGAGAGGATTGGCTTGGTGCTCTGTGTTGAGTGTATCCAAACTCTGAAACAAACTTTCCTAAACGCATTCTCTATTCTTTTTGGCTTGCACTTCCTCTTTTCTGCTTTGGTATTTCTGTTTAAAAGACTACTATTGGTTTTGGCTGTTTGAAATTCATCTTTTTAAAACCCCGAAGATTAGAACTGAAAATAGACAAGTTCTTGTGAATTGAACTTGAAGAGGGGTAAAAAAGGTGACCCTCAAGCAGCCGCTCTAATATGCCATTAGTCACGACAGTCACTCCGTGAGACTGGAGGAGGAGAGAAGCCCTGTGTAACGCTACCCTCAGCTCTGAGCCACCCACAAATCCCAGAGCCGTTCTCCTGGGAATCGGAATTGCTCTATTAAATACAAAGGCACAGTGGTGATGTACATGTGCTGCAGAGCCAGCCCACCCACTTCCAAAGCCTTTAAAGTGCATATTCTCTATTTGGCTTAAAACTGAGACTTCTCCAAACCTTTTGTCCGCTGTCTACAATTTTGCCTCTTCTTCTCTCCTGGAGCTGCTGCGGTCGCTTCCCTCCTGCCGTACCCTGAATTGGCAGGCTCGGAGCCCCGTCCCGCACTCATCCCTCGATCAGCAGGGACCTCTGGTGGAGGGAACGCAGGCGTTATTCCAACCCCCTCCTTTTCTTTTTCTGTCATGCTTGCCTAAGGAAACAAAGAATAGCAGAGCAGAGCATAGTACTGAATACAACAGAATAGACTATTTCAGTTGGAAGGGTCTACAACGATCATCTAGTCCAACTGCCTGACCAATTCAGGGCTGACCAAGTTAAAGCATGTTATTAAGGGCATTGGCCACATGCCTCTTAAACACTGACAGGCTTGGGGCATTGACCACCTCTCCCGGAAGCCAGTTCCAGTGTTTGACCACCCCCTCAGTAAAGAAATGCTTCCTAATGTCCAGCCTGAACCTCCCCTGACCCAGCTTTGAACCATTCCCAGGCGTCCTCTCCCTGGATCCCAGGGAGAAGACTTCAGCACCTCCCTTTCCACGTCACCTCCTCAGGAAGCTGCAGAGAGCAATGGGGTCGCCCCTCAGCCTCCTTCTCTCCAAACGAGACAAAACCTAAGTCAGTAGCCGCTCCTCATAGGACAGGCCTTCCAGCCCTTCACCAGCTTGGTTGCCCTCCTCTGGACACCTCCAAGTACCTTAACATCCTCTCAAACTGTGGGGCTCAGAACTGCAAAGCCTGTACAGTCCCAAAATCTATCGCCCGTCTGTTTGCCATCCTCCACTCTTAATTACTGCACGTGAGC